ATCTGCTTGAAGTGGTGGATATTCTTCTGGATTTATAGGTTGTTTTTCTGACTTGAGCATTGTTTGTGGCTGACTATCATCGGATGAAATTTCTTGAATGTCTTCTTTTGGTTGCTTCGTTGTTGAACTGCTAGCTGCTTCTTCTTTAGGTACTGATTGAGATGATAGAATTTGTATTGTTTGTCGTAGTTGTTCTTTTTCTCGTCTGACTGCTTCGAGTTGTCTGACTAATGATGCTTCTTGATCTTCTTTCTGTTTGAACTGGTGTTTGATTTGTTTCATGATTGCTTCCATTTCGATATATTTGTGGACTGAATGTTTGCGTTTCTTGAGTACCTGAATGATTACTGAATGTTGTATGTTTTTAATATTTCAAATGATATGAGAATTTTCATATCAATGTATGTTTTTGGTGATATATTCATATCACTGTATGCTTTTGGTGATATATTCATATCATTGTATGCTTTTGGTGATATATTCATATCACTGTATGCTTTATCATTGTTTACTTCAGATAGGTTAGATATGAGGTTTCCTTTGCTATCTAATCCCAGTAATACTTTTTCCATAGGACTTATTTACCTGCATCTGAATCAGAATCAGTTGTATATGCATAAATATCTATCTCTGAATCTATATTTGAATCTTCTATGGGTTCGTATCCAAGGTCGTATGCAATTTTTAATATATTTGTTTCTTTTTCTTTTTTAGTCTTTTTTGGGCATTCATAGGCTTTGTGTCCTTCTTCTTGACATATCCAACATTTACAGTCTTTTTTATTTGATGGACAATAATTTGTTTTGGATTGATATTTTTGTTTATATTGTTTTCTATTCCGGAAGTATTTTCTTTCCCCTTGTTTATAATATTCTTTGTATTTAGGTTTATATGTTTGTTTTTTTCCAAATTTTCTTTTTACTTTGTTGTTTTTCTTTACAACCATATTGATTTACTTTGTTAGAAAGGATGTCACAACATAAATCAATTTTTGCATCTTGTGCTGTTTTTTGTTCTAAACATTTTTTCTGCATCCATGCTTTTAATATGCTTATTCGTGCTCCTAAGGTGTCTGCAACTTTATTTTGTTGTAATGCTTCTTGGAAATCTTTTATTACACTTTGGCTTACTAATGATGGTAATTTTTGATAGAACATATCTAATGCTACCTTTTTTCTAGTGGAATCTAAATTATAATAATGTTCAGAATATTCACATATAAATGGTTCTAAATAACACATATTACAAATTCGTAAATTAGTTAAATGCCATAGTGATTCTAATTGAAAAGCTTCTTTTGATATTTTATCTTCAATTTGTTTTCCTATGAATTCCTAAATAAGACGACTTAATACATTTTTAAATGTTTCCATAGCATCAGTAGTAGCTATCATCATTGTTTCGGTTTCATCAAGAGATGAAAGAAAACGATATGCGTTACCTTGTGTTTTATGAATAATATAATTAAGAAAATGTTTTGGGTGTAAATTTCTTAATTCTTCGGTTAACTGAATTTGTACTCCCATTTTATTACTCCATTCTTGAATTTTTGCTTCAGGATTTTGGTCACAATCAATAAAAAGAATATCTGAATTTGTTGGAAATGTAAATAATTTAGGTATGTATTGAGGAGGTATTTTTCCCATTTGTTTTGTTTATTTTTAACCATTCCTTGTCTATATAAAAAATTTTCTTCTAATGAAGGTGGTCCATAAATATATTGACTTTGATAATCATCTTCAACATATGATTGTTTTCGTTTTAATCCAAAATTATTTTGTGAATCTCTATATGGATTTGAATAAGGGTTTTCATCATCTGAAGAAAAATCATATATTACTTCTGCGTCATTATCATCTGAATTATTTTCTATTTCTATATTATTTTCTTGAGTTTCAGATGGAATTTCTAATGCTGCAAATAATTTAGTTAGTGTTTCTACTTTTTCTTGTAAAGTTTCCATATATATTGTGTGTATTAAAAATAAATTTTTTAGTTTCTTTTTTATAGTGAAGTAGTTATTATTAACGCTTTTTCTATCATATTTAACAAATTAATTTTGTTATTTTATCTTCAAGGTTTTTTATTTGTTCTTGTTTCCAATTTATACTATTATTTATTATATGTATTGCTTCAATATTAGATATACAATTTATCATTGATATGTCAGAATCTATTTTTAAATCTAAAAGAAATTTTTTAGATTGTTTCAATGTTTTACGAAAAAATTTTAATTCTTGTTTATTTGTATCTAGGCTTGAAAAACTCATGATTATAATTAATGGTTTAGTTTCGTTTTGAATTTAAAGTTACGGTTAAAATTTATTTAAAAATAGTAGTGGTAATTATGATAATAGGTTATAATGATGATGTTTATGATGACAAATGATGATGGACATATCAAAGATAGAAAATAATAGTAATAGTACAAATGAATGTTTAAAATACAAATAATTTTGTTTTTAGACGACGTATTTGCTTGTAACGGATTTTAATACTAGTTCTTATGAAATATCTAACATCGTGAATATGGTTATTGTTTAAAATTGTACCTTAATTATTAGGTTTGTAAGAATCTTTGAGATTTTGCTTAGAATTATTTATAGATTCTTGGATTTGTTGTATTCTTAAAAGAATATTTCTATTAGGAATACAATTCATCAAGATTTTGTTAGACATAAATATATATTTCAAGCATGAATTTGATTATTAAAAATGAGTGCTATTTTAACGAAAATTTCAAATTTTGTAGAATTAATAGTTAGAATAACTCGGAATGAGATTATCATGGAGAAATGAAATAGAATATCTTGAGACATATTTATGATATTAAATCTTCTTTCGATGATTTTTTAATTGTTTTAATAACGATGATTTTTTGAATATGGGTACTTAAAAATAATGATTATTTATTTTCATGTTTATGATGTTTATCATTTTTATGATGTTGCATATGTATGTATTCTTATTAACGATAGATTGAATATGCAAGATAATAATAATAAGAACGTTACTTAGCTCTGATATCAAATTGAAAAACATGGCGGAATTAATAAAATTAAGACAGAATATACCTGAATGATGCGTCGGAATGGATTAACGATGGATTGATTGTCTGGGTTTGATATGTTTATATGAATATATGAATATGTTTGGATAGGGTTCTGCTATTCAGAAATAGAAAATCTATTTCAACAGAAGAAGATTGAGATCAACTCAAATCTTATAATCACAAATCACTCTGCTTTATTCACTAAGGGCAAAGCCCTTTATATAGGCTCCAAAGAGCCGTTTACACACGGTATCTTTACATTATTGCAATCGTATGATTGCAAGAAGACAAACTACTTTACATAAGACTTTATGTCACATTATAATAATGCTACACACTTATTAATCTTACCGACACTTTACATAATTATAAAAGACAAAATAGAATTATTATCGTTGATAATGCATCGTTATCTTCAAAGAGGTACAAGCAGACGAATTCTCTCCCCGTCGTCCCATTTACTCGATCCAAACCCGGACCAACCGTCGCTCCGATCCCCTTCTTCAATGGCCTACCCAAAACTACTGATGAATCAAACCCTAATCCTCCTCATCTTTCAGCTTTCTACCCGTGTTTCGCATTTGAGAGTTTCTTGAATCCAATTTCTCAGCTTGGTTTTATTCAACATGTTGTACCTGAAGAAGACATTGTTTCGGGAGATGATGAACGAGGGATTTGGGCTGATAGTGTGAAGAAGAAGAGAAAGAAGAAGATGAACAAGCACAAATTGAAGAAGCTGAGGAAGCGTCTGCGGAGGAAAACATAATTTTTTATTTTCTTCAATCTGGTGAGGATGCCAGGTTATTGTTTTTTGCTGGATTTCTTATTGATTCAAGAGAAAAATCTACCTTCATTTCTGTAACATCCCCTCTTTTGATTTCACTTTCCGGAAATATCAATTTTCATGACTTAATTTTATTTCATTTCTCAAATTGGAAGTGCTTAGAGGGTGTTTGGGATTGCTTTTCAAATGACTTTTTGGCTTTTGGCTAAGAAATCCTATCTTTTTGCGATTTTTAAGCATTTAAAGGGTAAATTAGATTAAAAAGTCAAAAAAACTAAGACAAAACACATTTTAAAACCAACTTTTAGCTTTTGCTCTTGAGTCTGTAGATTGTCTAAAGATGTTATATATATATATATATATATATATATATATATATATATATATATATATATATATATATAGAGAGAGAGAGAGAGAGAGAGAGAGAGAGGATCAAATGAGAACACCTAAAAGGTTGAGAACGCGAGAACAATTCTGGACCAATCAATATATAAGGGCATACTAGTAAATGTATATTTTAATTAAATTAAAATAAAATAAAATTTAATCAAATTCCTTTAAATTTAGGATCAGTTACCAAAAAAGAAATAAATATTTAATTTTTTATTTTTCTTATTAATAGAATATAAAAAACATTTTTGCCAAAATTTATTTTAAAACTGAAAAAAAATTCTTAAAAAATCAATTTTTTTCTCCTTTTTCACGTTTTTTTTGTGTTTAAAAAAATGAATAGAAATCGAACACCAAATTAGTACATTTGTATTCATAAATGATTTTTTTTTTCAAAAAACCTGATACTACTCCAATCACAAATAAATACACATCAATTTACAAGTAATCTAATTCCTTTTTTTAATCAATTGAAAATAAAAAGAGTGTAAAAATTATCATTTCTCATAAAAAGAATACCTCTAATCATAAATAAATATACTCATTAACACATTCTTACACTGTTATTCACAAACGAATACACTGCTATTAACAAATGAGTACCCTGTTATTCACAAATGAATACACTGCTATTAACAAATGAGTACCCTGTTATTCAGAATTGAATAAATGAATGCCTCTAATCATAAATAAATAAATACATTCATTCATTGTTATTCACAAATGAATACACTTGTATTCACACATGAATGCACTGCTATTCATTCACTGTTATTCACACATGAATGCACTGCTATCCACAAATGAATAACTGCTATTCATAGATAAATACAACTTTTCATTCTTCCATTTCCTCTCACACTCCCTTCTTTTTCTCCTATCTTCGAGGTGCAACAAAAACACCCCCACCAGAGGTGTTTGCTGGTGGTTTCCGGCGAGCCAAGGGCAGCAGCCCCCTCCGTTTTCTCCCACAGTTTTACGACACACCAAGCAACCCAAACACCCCCTGTTGTCGTTTTCTTTCTGCCTTCCTCCCCCTCTCATCGACAGTAACTGGAACAAGAAAAAGAAGTGGTGAAGAGGAGAGGATTCACTGAAGCCATGGCCGATGAACCACATCTTGAAACTGGCGCTAGCGACTTCTTCCTCTGTGGGACCTTCCTTTCTGAACCCTCCAAAACTGAAAAAAGAGGGGAATTTCAATAGAAGCCACCTCCCGAATGAGAAGATGCCCAGAAGCCCAATTGATATCCCGGCGGCGATGATTCCAATCATACCCAGAAGATTCTTGGTGGCAATCTTTACTCCGAAATGAGCAGGTTTTATTGTAGACCAAAAGGAGGAGCGTTTCTCTGCGTGTTTAGGATCCTCGCTGACTCCTTCAAGACCGTTTGGGTTTTCTGTAAGAATGGAAAGCGTTCTCCGGACAACGGTGGCGTCGGTTGATGGTAGTTTAACAGCCCAAAGTCCGATCTGTTTTTGGTGTTCTATGGTTGATCCTTTTGGAGGAGGAGGACCAGGGATCTGAGAGAACACAAGGCAGATTCGAACGAATCAAAAGTTTAATATAGTCGGAATTATTTCGGAATTTGAATTCAGTAGGAAAGATCACACGAAATGATGAATGTATCATACGAAACAAGCCGGAAATATAGCCTTACCGTAGGTCGAGCTCTTTTGGGTCTTGATCGTCGAAGCTCCGCCAGCTTATCAGCATTAGCCACTCCCAAAACCGCAGACTCAAAAGTCCCAAAATTACCTGCTATCTTTTTATCCGATTCAAGGGACAGTTAGGCTTCAACCCGATTGGGAGCTGCCGGCGAAACCCACTGCCTGGAATTGAACATCAACCCTATTTCTGCCGGAATCGAATCAAACCCACAAGCCGAGATCACCAAACTACCTTTCTCCACCGCCTTCTCATGGTACACGGCTTCCATCCTCTCCATGAACTCCGGCTCACCTGAAATATCCAGGTAATCGCACCCCGCTTCAACACAGGCAGCGACGACGGGCTCACCGTAAAGGCGAAAAGGTCCAACGCAATCGAGGACGAGCTTAGCTTCCCTCCAAACACCCCCTGTTGTCGTTTCCTCCCCCTCCCCGTTCGTGAATCCTCTCCTTCTGATCAAAAGCAATTCAGAGATCCTATTTCCCTTTCCCCCTTTTTGGCTTCATCGATTCCAATCTGTCTCACCATTCTTTTCCCTTTTTTGGTGGATCGATGATGTAGGGTGGAGGCGTACCTAGGTTTACAGAGAGAGATGAAGAGAGAGATAGGAAATAGAAGGAAATAAGTGAGTGATTGAGGAATTATAGGAATTAAATAATGGTGGTAAAGGTCCAATTACTATAATACCCTTATCACCATTTGAAGTTACACTTTAATACCTGTAACTTTTAAAATTTTACATAAATGACCCATTTAATAATAAACTTAGATTTAGTTTTTTAAATGGTTCAGATCTGTTCTCGCGTTCTCAACCTTTTGGGTGTTCTCATTTGATCATACTCCTATATATATATATATATATATATATATATATATATATATATATATATTGTTTACCCACGTCAAACGACGGGTGCGAATAGTTTCTTTCAGAAATTAGTTTTTAAAAGTGATTAGTTTTTGCGCAACTATTAATTTAGAATATATTTAGTGGAGAAAATTACTCCAATTAAACCCTCCTTTTGTTTTCATCTTGAATCATATTTTTGTATTTCATGTCCGATTCCCCTGTCGATATTTTAGATACCGTGAGAAAGACTTTTACAAAAAGGACTTTTGAGGATTAAAAAGTAATCCCAAACACCCCCTTAATAATTCAGATTTGTATCAACCATGTGGTCTTTGATCCAAACTACAACCCTTAGCCTTAGGTTGTGAGTTCAAACATCAATATCAGTTAAAATGGTATCTTTGTGTTTTGAATTTTGGAGGTTTCAGGCGTAATTTGATATGAATTGAACTCACTGTCATCTATCATGTTTGATGAGCCCTCAATTCTATTTATAGCCAAACTATGCCTACTGATACTATCTTGCTGGATCTTGTTGTTCTATGTGTTTTTGTTTTGCATCTCTGGCGCCCTTTAAATGCAATCTATAAGTTAATTCCATTTTCTGGATGCTAGATTTCAGCTTTTAGGCAATGAGTTGTGGTTGGATTAACCAAAATTGCTTTTGTTGTTTGAGTATATGTGCTACGAATAATAGTTTGATAGACTGGCATAAGCTACATAGTTCCTAAAAGTTTCATGGGTGCGTTTGGTTCACAGATTGTTTTGGAAGGAAGTGGATTCTGTCAAAGTAATTGAATTATTGAAATTTGAAGAATTTGGATTATGTCACGTCACTTGTTTGGTTGGGTGGAAATAGAATGGAACATGGGATTCCTTAGTGACAAGAAGGAAAGCAGATGGATATGCAAGAGGCAATTGGTGTTTACTTGTAGAATTGTAGGGGTCATACGGTTATACGGGTCTTTTCAACCAAGAGAAAATGCAAGAATTTGAATAAAATGCAAGAAATTGAATTCCGTGTGTTTTAAGATGGAATATTGAAATCCATCGGTCATTGGATTTTGTAAAGTTCCAACAGACTTCGATTGCATACTCATTTGCAATTGTACGCCATTTGAAAGTTGAAACCCTAGAAACCTAGTGACCTACCTCTGTATGGAATTATATATTAAGCTAGTGTAAATGTAAATTTTAAAAGGGAGAATTTCGTATATATCGTTATTAAACGTCTAAATATCGTCGTATTTGTCTGACCTATTTTTTGAATATCATATTTACCCTTTTAAACTTATAATCTTTATTTTTAATATTTTTAAACATTTTTTAATCATTTTTATATACTGAAATTATAATAATCAGAAAAGACAAATTAAATGACCATATTGCCCTCTCTTTAAGAATCATCTTCAACACACGTCGTTTTAGAATTGAGCCTTCTCCAAAAACATTAGCCTCTCTGCCATCTCAGCCCCTGGTCGTCGTCTTCATCCTCTTAGACTTTGGTACATGAAACAACTATATATAAACACTTGATATAAAACCTAACACATGTTTATGCTAATTTCCACATTGGATACTTAATGATTAATCTGAGCCAACATCAACCTGGCATCTTTACTGTTGGACCTTTCTTACAGAAGCAAGCAATCTTAAGAAGAAGAAGCATCTGTTCCTCATAACCATTCCCCAAAAGCTTCGGATCAACTGCTTGTTTTGGATCCTCCGAAGTCATCACATTTCTCATACATTCCACCAAACTCATCTCAGATGTCCACCGAAAAAATTCATCCGCAGGAAGCTTCCCCATCACCAGAATTGCCAATCATATCCCAAAACTGTAGATATCACGTTTATCGGTAAACTTCATAGTATGATGATACTACGGTGCTATGTATCCTAAAGTTCCGACGACATTTGAACTCGTCATGTGAATATCGGCATCTGGGATTGATTTCGCAAACCCAAAATCAGCTATCCGGGCTTCCATGTTGTCATCAAGAAGTGGAAGTAGGTACCGGTGTCTGATTTGGCCAATTCACACTTGTATACTTCTCCACACCCACCTTTTCTGATGATTTGTAGGGATGCAACTCTGTCGTCTTTCTCAAGAAAAGTGAGTTTTTCGGCTTTAATAAGTTGACTGAAAATGGCGAAGGTGTGCCTTTGATCTTATTCAAAATCATTTAATTTAAAGAGTATTGTTACCATGGTTCCGCATATAATCCGATTGCAACAAATAATTGGCGAGAAGTCAGAAAAAAGAAATGATCGTGCTAAGGGTTAAAGATGATCATGGGTTAAAGATGATCGTGCTAAGAAATACCCCAGGGAGATGATCATGGGTTAAAGATGATCGTGCTAAGAAATACCCAGGGATTACTGTGATTTAGAAGGCAAGGGTATTATGGTTCATTTGTTTATTATTATTATTATTATTATTATTATTATTATTTTTAATGTTTTTAAAATATTAAAAAGGATTATCAAATAATAAAAACTGTTTAAAAAATAGATTTGGGTAAATCTCATATTTTAAAACATTAAGAATAACAAATATGATATTTAGAGTTTAGATCGGACAAATACGATATTTAAACGTTTAATAAGGGTATATACGAAATTCCCCTATTTTAAAAAACACAATTTTTTCCAAAATAGCACACATGCAAGAAACACGCAGTTTGAAACTTTGCGGTTTTTAGATTCCTGGGCTCCAAATGATAAAAGTGTAAAGAGACAAATCTTGAGCTCAACATCAAGTTTTTATTTTTTTGACTCCAATGTAAGCAAGGAAGTTGATTCAGCTATATACCTGGACTACCACTTTATTCCATTTTCTAACATGTATTTAAACCCAACCAAGGTTACCCTCAAAACCAAACTACCAATAGCCTCCTCACCTTTCTTCCATCAAAATGGACCAATAGATGCTTGTCCACTTACACCAACAAATTACCATCATCTAACTGTGACAAACGGCCCTTAACACCCACCAACCCCTTAACAACCACCAATCCATTAACAGGAACTACTTCATCAATGAACCCAATGCAGCAGCAACAGCCACATCTAGTGGCTCAACAGCTACTGGATCTCTCAAGCAAACCATTGCAGCAGTTAATGGGTCTCAGAAACAAGCCCATGATGAACTCAATGGCAAATCCTATGATGAACCCAATGGTGAATCCAATTGCGAACACAATGCATACCACCCGGTTGCACAACCAGATGGCGACATCTGTACACAATCCACTGGTGCATCAACAAAACAGAAGTAAAAGGAACTCCATTTTTAGTGCTTCGGATGACAATGTGATCATGAAGCAAGTGCTTGATACTCATCTCCCTGATGGCACTGATGTTGATGTCAAACCACTTCTCGACATCGTGGAAGATATACTCCGATATGCCACCATTAATTCGGTATTAACATTTTTGTTGATCAATATGTCCACTTTTTATCTATTAATAAGACTTTTATTACTAACATGTGTTAGGTATGCAGTAATCGAAGAAGAATAGAACTGAACATTCCTCACGGAAACTCATTCCTTATTAGGTTTTTCTTTTTCATTCATTGATGGAATGGAATGATATATTATAATTATAAATTCTTTTATTTATATAATCTTTCAATAAAACTAATGTTTTCCAAAAATTTCAAAACTTCAATTAGATTTTTCTTATTCTCCAAGAATAAGTAGATGTTTTTTTTCTCTTAAATTTCATGTTATTTATTTATTTGTCAAAAAATTTAGATGATAAATTTTTCTTTAATATATATATATATATATATATATATATATATATATATATATATATATATATATATTCGGTAAGAATTTTTTTTTTGGTAGGAAGGTATATATATATATATATATATATATATATATATATATATATATATATATATATATATATATATCCGGTAAGAATTTTTTTTTTGGTAGGAAGGTAATAAGTTTTTTTTCTACATATTTTTTTGACGAACAAAATAAATGAATCACTAGATGAGTCAAAAATAACATGATTCACAAAAAAAATCTCAAAAAAACATCTCGATGATTCATTTATACAATGATTTTGTTGTAATTCACTAAAATTGTCATAAAAGTGAATTTTTTCTTAATTTACTTAAAAATAAATCATGATGATGTTTTTTTGGGAATTTTTTGTTATGAATCATCTTACAAATGAATCATCTAATGATTCATTTTGTTTGTTCGTTAAAAAATATATAGAAAAAAAACTTTTTACCTTCTTACCAAAATTTTCCTTCTTATTATATATATATATATATATATATATATATATATATATATATATATATATATATATATATATATATATATTAAACGATATGAAATACATTTAAATGTAATTTATTTAACGATATATCTTTAATTTGGTTACAGTTTTTTTTGTGAAGCAACCCTTTTTCTATATTTATCGGTTTAATTTTACTTAGTTTTCTAACTATACATAACAAAAACATTATTTGAACGTTTCATTATAATCCTTCAAACCAACCAAACATTATCCATTTAATTATGTTATTCATTCCATTCCATTATAAAAAAACACACCCCGTTCTTGAATTTGGTGTAGGCTGAGCATACAGATGTGGGAAAGGTCGAGGGCAAACTGGGCAGCAAACCCCACGAAATGAACACTGTTGTGATGCCTAACTCATTGTCACATGTAATCGAAAAACTTGCTTCCGAGGTATATTACTATTCCCATCCTAACAAACCAAAATGTGATAAAAACAAATAAATAAATAAATAAATAAGAAACTAATTTTTGTAAATATTTCAGATGTCCTTGAGGTGCTTAAGTGTCGGGGATGGACACACAACCGCTCTCGCCCTATTTCACATGGTAGGAAACTTCCACTGGGATGCAAAACTGGTGTTGACACTTGCGGCTTTTGCTCTCAACCATGGGGATTTCTGCCTTCTAGCTCAAATCTATTCATCAAACCAACTTGGAAGTTCCATGGCTATTCTAAGACAAGTTCCAATGATCATAGAGAATTCAGCCTCTTTGAAACCTCGATTTGACATCCTAAATAAACTCATTCGCTCTGTCCTTGAATTAACTCGATGCATCATGCAGTTTAAAGAGCTTCCATCTATGTATGTTACTCCTGATGTGCCAACCATGGCTAAAGCTTTGAATACTCTACCCACTGCTGTTTACTGGAGTTTTAGAGGGATTGTTTCTTGTGCTGCACAGATTACAAGCATCACTAGCAAGGGACACGAGTAAATACTAAATAATACTTTGATACACTGTCTAAAATCTTATATGAAATGAGAATGTGTATTGACTAACGAGGTTGTTGACTTCAGGTATGGGAAATCATCCTTGGAGTTGCAGTCATGGGAACTCTCCACCTTAATCTTTAAGATTAATAACTTACACGAGTTTCTCAAGAAACAACTCGTAGATTGTCACCGTGTTGTAGGTATATTGTTGATGCTTTATACAAATAATCGCAACATGGTTCATTGGTTATTAATATATATATAGAGGAAGGTGTTGTTTCTTTTTGACTTAATATAAACAGATTAGCTTAATGGGTTATGTTAGTGGAGGGCGTGCTTATCCATTAAGACCTCATTGTTTAAGCTGTTACCCTTTAACCAAACTCTCTTTTTTTAATTTCTTTTTAAAACATATTTATCCATTTACCACTTTACACATATAACACATAAAGAGGAAAAAAAGAAACATCCCCTAAGGCAACTATATTCCTGTACGAATAATGTAGGAGAGAGAAGGGAGATGGATTTCAGGAACTCATTCAATAAGCTATTTGACACAGTCCATATCGACAACATGAAAATCCTCAAGATCTTAATTAGTCCAAGAGATGACAATCTGCCACTTTTCGATGGCGCGACTAAGAAAAGGGTTAGAACAGTGATTTATATTTACATATATTGACTTATATTTAAATGCAACTTCTAATTTACATAATTACAGGTCAGCCTAGAAGTTCTTAGGAAAAGAAATGTGTTGTTGCTGATATCAGGGCTAGACATGTCTAGCGATGAGCTGTCCATTCTTGAGCAAATTTACAGTGAGTCACGAATTCAAGGAACAAGACTGGATGCTTTGTATGAGGTTGTATGGATGCCTATTGTGGACCCCTCGATAGAGTACACTGAAGCAATGAACAAACAGTTTGAAGAGATGAAGAACAGGATGCCATGGTTCTCAGTGTACCATCCTTCCATCATTGATAGGGCAGTCAAAAGGTCAATTGGTGACAGGTGGCACTTTAGGAGCAAGCCTATACTCGTAGTGTTGGACCCACAGGGAAGGGAGTTGAGCCCCAATGCAATTCATATGATGTGGATTTGGGGAAGCAATGCATTCCCTTTCACAAGTGCTAGAGAGGAAGCCTTGTGGAGGGAAGAAACTTGGAGGCTTGAGTTGCTAGTTGGCATGGACCCCACCATTCTTAACTGGGTGAGTCTGTATTGCTTTATTGCTAGTGTTTGCTTCTACTGTTTGTGTATCTTTACTCTTTACCTACTTACCCTTGCTCCTCTTTACTTTCTGCTTTATTACTTGTATATGCTTCTTTTTATCCGCCAATATGGGCTCCTACCCTTGGGTAGATGCTGCCTACATTTTACCTCCTCCTTACCCTATTCTTCTGGGACATGGGTATTCTTGTATTCTTATAATACATACTAAATATTGACTTGTATTCTGTGTTTTAGATAAGAGAAGACAAATACATCTTTTTGTATGGAGGGGACGATATGGAGTGGATTCGCAAATTCACAAACAATGCAAGAGCCATGGTAGTTGCTACACGCATCCCATTAGAAATGGCGTATGTTGGAAAAAGCAAGAAAAGGGAAAATGTTCGTAGCGCGATTACCACCATCAAGCAGGAAATACTTAGTTACTCCTGGCAAGATACCACTCTGATTTGGTTCTTCTGGACACGAATTGAGAGCATGTTGTTCTCCAAGCTTCAGCTTAAGAGTGATGATGATCAAGACCCTATAATGTTACAAATCAAGAAACTACTAAGCTATGATAAGGATGGATCATGGGCTTTGCTGTGTAGAGGATCACAGATTCTAACTAATGGACATGGATCCACCATGTTGGAGACCCTTACTTACTTTGATCTATGGAAGGAACATGTCCCTACAAGGGGTTTTGATTTGTCATTTACAGGCTATCATGACAAGCTTCATGTTGCAGCGGGTTACTGCTGTCGATTCGAGTTTCCTATTACAGCAGGTAGAATCCCTGAAGGCATGCGTTGCCCTGAGTGTCATCGATTGATGGAGAAATACACTGCTTTCCTTTGTTGCCACGATCAAACTGGCCTTCTTGAACCCTATTGAACAACTGCTATTCATAGCAACTAAACTGGCACACTCTACTCTGATGCCAGTAACTATTACTAAGTGATTAATAAACAGCGGTATGTGAATGTTGTTGTACTATGATAAGATTGTAATGTGTGAAGTCAGAAGTGTGTGGTCGTTATTACTTGAGTGTATCCTGGTGGATCTAAACTGCATTATGGGTTAGAACCACTATGTAATAAAAATGTTTATGAATCTTATTATAAGGTCGTTGTTATATGTATTTGATATTGACACTAAACTATTATGCTGCAAAATGCAAACCAGTTCCCCTAAATTGTATTGGATAAATTTGATAATCAGGTAAGTCGCTAGGATATGATGGAAGAAAAGATAGAGATGAAAATAGATAACTAGAAATACCAATTTTAAATGAATCTACTAAACTGTGTAATTTTAATCTCATGCTTGTGTAAAATGTAAAAATGTTGCATTATTTATTTACAAACAGGATCAACTAAACAATTGACATTCGTCCGTTAACAATCCACAAAAATAAGTAGCAATTGTAACAAATCTTACGGAACGATTGGATATCTTTAACACGACTACAATGCAGGTTGAAATCATCGTCAAAGATGGGTATTTTTACTCTGGAAACAAATAAAGAGCACATATACAACTCAAGTTAATACTTGATTTATTCAAACCTTGTATAATTTATGAATCCGTTCAAGGATTTGGAAATCCAAATTTCGACGAATAGGAATACAGAGGAGAAGATACCTAATGAGCCAATTCTCGATCGACTGTTTTTTGTTGCTTTTCTCGAGGGAATGGAGTTTGGAATTGGAACATTAAATATTTTAAGAAATAATTAGAAATTTGAGAAATCTTTAAAATAAGTTAAATAACCACAATTTTAGATGACATTCAAAATTGAAATTGACTTGAAAAAAAAAAAAAAACTACGTTAAATGATGTCAATGGGCCGAGAAATGGGCAAACCTATCTGGGAATTGGACCTAGAAATAGGAATTGGGTTGTCAACAACAAAAATATATTTGATAATTTGCCTTCAAAGACAATAGAAAATGAGACAATAAGTTTCAAGAACAATATTTGTTTATGTTTTCATATATATGAAAATGTTGTTTTTTCGAATAAATCTAATATATTTTTAGATGTCTTCTACAAAAATATTAGATCTATTTAAAAAAATGATTTTTTAGACATATCTTTAGATAACATCTATAAAAATATAAGATCTATCTAATAAAATGTCATTTCTCAGATCTAACATTTTTACATATGACATCTACAAAAATGTCAAAGCTATCTGCAAAAACAGTTTTATAAGTGCTATTGAGTTTTAACAATTTATTTTTTAACGTATCATGAAAACAAATCATTTAGTGGGCAGATCAATTCCAAAACATTTGCGGGTAAAGTTAGAAGAGTTACAAACCGTTTAAGAGTACAATGAGTGACGTTATTTGAGTTCACAACATTCAAATATCGGGCAGGAGTATCTAGGTTCATTTGAGTTGGGGGGGGGGATTAATTTGTCATGTGGTTATGTTAAATGGAGTTCGATCGGATGCTCAATTAATTGCACATAAGCGTTCGTTATTTCTTATTTGGTGAGCAAAACATGTGGTTTAGAAATGAGGAATCTTGTTTAACTACGAGATTCAAATTCGGTTGCCATCCTGTGATGTAAATAAGGAAATAAAAAGAGTTGATTCCATGTTTCGGCAAGGTGTGTTGCTGAACAACAAATATATCGTCGGCGGTTGATTATTTAGATTGGATGATCCATAACATGATTTTTCCACATTGATAACGAGGACATTCTAAGAGTGTGTTTACTTTACATTCTTTGTGGAAAGGTTTTTTAGGAAAGAAAAAGACATACAATGTTACTTTACATTCTTTCACCTCTCGATCTATCTCATATTCTCATCTTTATTTTTCTTTTCTTCATGCTTGAGACAATAATGAACCTTACCCCATTATTTGTTGGGTAGATTTTTTCACCCACCACAATCTCATTGAGAAGCACCTAGGGTCGTCCCAATAGGGTAGGGTGGCCAAACTGGGCGATCGCCCAAGATCTCACGACGATTGGGGCCTAATATTAATTCTATTGTAAATTTAATATATAGTGTTCGTTTCGAAATTAATATCCAAGTTATTATAGATTAATTGGTAAAATGCTTTTGCTTTCATCTAAAGAAAAGGACAATGTTCGATTCAAGGCGTACACGTTCTATTTTGTAGATAACAAGTTAAAAGTATAGTGGAGTAAAATCGAACAATTTTTTTAGACAACAATCTAAAAATATAATTGATTAAAAAAAACGATCTTTCTAGAGTTTTTTAAAACCCAAAAATATAATACATTAAAGAATAGACTTTTTCTAGAGTATTTTTAAGTTTAATAATGTTGATTTAAAAAGAAAATATAAATTGGTGTTCATAAGTAATTGTTGTCTAACCTTTCTTGTAAGTTTCGGGTATGTTCACTTTATGTAATTTAATAATTTGGATGATTGGATCTCTGGTGGTCACGGCGTGGCGATGGAGTACCACGACGTGGCCAAGGCCAGAGCTTCCGTGGACTCTAAGTTAGTGCCACGGCATGGCATATATTCGCAACGACGTTGCCGTTGTTTAATAACAAACCCTAATCCGGGGTTTGAGCCCCTATTTAAGAGAATGTGATGGCTAGGGTTGCCCACCCTCAGCCTCATTCACTCTCCCTCAACCTCCAAGAGGAAACCCTAGCCTCCATTGCTAATCTTTGAGCTTTTGTGTGTTTTGGTGGCATTTTGAAGAAGAAGAAGGCATCTTTGAGCTTGGTTTCAGCAAGCAAATCTTCACATCTACCTTGAACATGTTTCTGGACTTTTAGAGCCGGTATTTGGAGCAACATTAAGTTCAAGGATCTTGCAGACATTGATGTGAGTTTTCCTCACTGTACTCGTAGGTCGAAGGCACCAAGGCCGACCCACTATGTTGTATGATGTATCCTGGTATATAGGATGTTGTTATGCTGTAGTAATATGTAAATTTGCTTGTTTGTCTGTTGCTAGTTATATGATTATCTGTTTGTTGGCTATATGTTTATCTGTTGCATATGTCAACATAGTGTGGTTGGATTGAGACAATACTGCTTTGTGCGGGAGCCAACAAACTCGGGAGCAATCCAGACATAAGTTGAGGAACGGGAGGGCATTCTAGACTTATGTTGTGGGCTCGGGAGCAATCCAGACATAAGATGAGGGTCGGGAGGGCAATCCAGACTTATGTTGTGGACTTAGGGGGTAATCCAGTCCGATGACTATGGACCTGAGGGTAATCCAGCCTGATGGCTGTGGACCCAATATGCATACCGTTATATGTTTGTGTGGTGGTACTTTGGGGGAACTCACTAAGCGTTGGCTTACAGTTTGGTTTTATGGTTTCAGGTACATCAGAGGACAGGGGCAAGTCGAAGGTGTGATTGTGCATATCATCCTGGATTTTTTATATGACTTATGATTTTGGGATACTCTGATTCATGTTTATGGTTTTGAGAAACTATGTTTTATGTCACTTATGAATTTTGGAATGGTCTTAAAAATGAAATTTTTTTTCATGGTTTTGGGATGTTACATGTTGGTATCATAGCCCTGGTTTGAGAGAATTGGATGAACACTTGTGTGAGTCCAGGCTCAAACTAAGGATCTGCAAAAATGTTTTCCAAAATTAACTTGGAAAGAAATGACAAAAAGGATGTGATGTGTACAATCAGTCGGAGCCAAGGAAAGTGATTCCCCAAGATACCGACACTTGTTTTGTATATTGAGGATATGATAGAAACGCATGCTAGTATGTAGGCTAAGGATCTTCAGGGATTGCATGATAGAATTTCCTGATAGCCTAGGAGAATTTCTTGTTATACTAAATGGAACTTACATTATTACCGTAGTTTCTTAGTGTATGCATCATAGTTGTACATAACTAATATTTTATAGCTTGATAATGTTTGCTTTAGCCTTATGTCCTATTCCTTGTCTGGTTGTGGGCTTAGGGTAGAATTCGGTATTCGACTATCTATCGAATCCAGTGTTATGTATGATTAGCATACACGAGCGGCTGCATGGTTAGTGGAAGTTTCATGAGGGAGTATTGGTTATAGTAGGTCAGCTTGAGAAATGATTAGCCACTCTCGAGAGAGTGAGTATAGGATGTGTTGTAACACCCGCGGATTCGGGTTAGTCAATTAAGATATAGTAAGTGTTAAAAATTACTTTTTGAATGAAGATTATTTAGGATAAATAATCTTAACAAAAGTTATAGTATATGTCACAATGATTCCGTACATATAAAGAACGTTGAAATCCGACTTATAATGAAAAAGTTATGACCCGTTGAAGTTTCACGATTTAAACCGGCATGACTCTGCGTAACATAAGAAGTAAATTTTTGATAAAATGATTTTTATCCTTAGTGATCTAAACGAAAGTCATAGTAGTCGTTAAACCGAGAGCGTGCATATAAAGAACGTCTAAATCTGACTTCATTAGAGGAAGTTATGATTTTTCTAAGATTCAACGTAGCAGTATACAGCTCAGATGTCGAACTTTAGATCAGTCAATTTTTAGCTGAAACAATCTAAACGAGAATTTAACAAGAGTTCAACGATATAAAGACAGTCGAAAACGAACGACGGATGACAAAGTTATGAATTTTTAACGGACTTTAACTGTCCAAGCTTGTTGAAATATAACTTTAAAAAATAAAGTCAAAATTAGCCGACGGAGTCTAAATGAAAGTTGTAGATATCATCAATAGCTATGTGTGGATATAAAAAACATGAAAAACAGAGCTCGTATGCGAAAGTTGTGGATTTTACAAGATAGTTAATTTTTGGATTAACAAGAGTGTGACACGTGTCGCGATCTGGCACACCTCTTTCTCCCAACGGCTTGCCACCAGATGATGACACGTGGCCCCAGTACACCCAACATAAGTTGAGTACGCCCATCATACCCAGTACGCCCAACATAATTTGAGTACGCCCAACGTACTGGGCCTCCTGGCAACCTATAAATAGAACCCGAATTTCACTCTTTTCTTCACACCTTTTCATTCTAATCTCTCCCAAACCCTCCCAATGTCCCTAGTCCTTGTTCAGTACTTCCTAAGGGTTAGTAGAGAAGCTCCAGAGCATCATAAAGCCCCAAGAAATAGAGCTCTCGGTTTAGAAGTTCTGCCCACGCAAATCTGGTTTTTCGCTAAACCACC